TCTCAAAGAGATTAAGATGTGATGAAATAGTTTATAATTGGCACTTACTTTTTTATTGAATTATAATCAACCTAGAACACTTTGTTAATTCCTGGTGACAGCATAGTGATTCTATATTTCTATACATGTCAAAATTTTCACCATGCGAAGTCTAGTTACCATCTGTCACCATACAAAGATATTGCAATATTATTGACTATATTCCCAAGGCTGTATATTTCATGCCTATGAATCATCTATTTTGTAATTAGAAGTTTAATCTCCATCACTTATTTTACTCATCCCCCACAACATGCTTCTCCTCTTGGCAACCACTTTTTTGTTCTCTGTATCTATAATGCTGTTTTCTGTTTTATTATGTTTATTCATTTGTTTCTTTTTTTAGATCTCACATATAAGTGAAAACTTACAGGATTCTTCTTTCTCTCTCTGACTAATTTCACTTAGCATAATACCTTCTTGGTCATCCATGTTGTTGCAAAAGGCAAGATTTCATTATTTTTGATGGCTTAGTAATATTTCATTGTATATATATCACATCTTCTTTATCCATTCATAGACTGCTTTCATACCTTTTGTAAATAATGCTGCAGTGAGCATAGGGGTGCATGTATCTTTTGGAATTAGTGTGTTTTCTTCAGAAAAATACCAAGCAGTGGAATTTATGGATCATATGGTAATTCTGTTTGTAATTTTTTGAGAAGCCTTCTTATGTTTTGAGTTGGGTTGTTTTTTTTTCTTTGATGTTGAGTTGTATGAGTTTTTGTTTATTTTGTATATTAATCTTTTATCAGATGTATCATTTGCAAATATCTTCTTTTGTTCAGTAGGTGGCCTTCTCATTTGTTGATAATTTCCTTACCTGTGCAAAAGCTTTTTAGTTTAATGTGGTTGTATTTGTTAATTTTTGCTTTTAATTTCCCTGCCTGCAGAGGCAGATCCAAAAAAATATTGCCAAATCTGATGTTAACAAGCATCCTATGTTTTCTTCTAGGAGTTTTATGGTTTCAGGTTTTACATGTAAGTCTTTAATCCGTTTGCAGTTTTTTTTTGTAGTGGTGTGAAAAGTAGTTCAGTGTGATTCTTTTGCATATAGCTGTTCAGTTTCCCCAACATCATTTATTGAAGAGGATTTCTCCATTGCATATTCTTGCCTCCTTTGTTGTAGATTAATTGACCAAGTAAGTGTAGGTTTCTTTCTGGACTCTCTGTTCTGTTCCATGGAGCTGTGTGTCTGTTTGTGTGCTGGTGTCATGCTGTTTTGATCGCTGTAGCTTTGCTGTTGTGTAGTTTGAGCTCAGAGAGGATGATATTTCCAGCTCTGTTCTTCTTTTGCAAGATTGCTTTGACTATTCAGGATCTTTTGTGTTTTCATACCAATTTTAGAATTATTTGTTCATTTGGTAAAGAATCCTTTGGTATTTCAACAGGAATTGCATTAACTCTGTTGATTGACTTGTGTTCTATGACCATTTAACAGTATCAATTATTTCCATGAGCAGGGTGTATTTTTCATTTGTTTGTGTTGCCTTCAATTTCTTTTATCCATGTCTTATAGTCTTCCTCTTCACCTTCTTGGTTAGATTTATTTCTAGATATTTTATACTTTTGGATGAAACTGTAAATGGGATTGTTTTCTTAATTTCTCTTTCTGATAGTTCTTGTTGGTATATAGAAATACAAAAGATGTCTGTATGTTAATTTGGTATCTGCAACTTTATTGAATCCACTGATGAGTTCTAGTGGTTTTGTGGTGGTGTCTTAGGATTTTCTATATATTCATATATATATTTCTCTCTATATAAAAATATATGGTATATTTTATATATGTGTATATATGTGTACTCATTTCATCTGTAAACAATGATAGTGTTACTTCTTTCTTTCCAATCTGGATTTCTTTTCATTTATTTTTTTCTTATGTGATTGCTGTGGCTATGACTTCCAATACTACGTTGAATAAAATTTGCGAGAGTAGGCATTCTTGTCTTGTTGCTGATGTTAGAGAAAACGCTTTCAGTTTTTCACCACTGAGTACACTTTAGCTGTAGATTTGTTATATATGGCCTTTATTTTGTTGAGGTACATTCCCTCTATAACCACTTTATTGAGAATTTTTATCATAATTGGATGTTGAATTTTGTCAAAAGTTTTTTCTACACCTATGGAGATGATCATAGCATTTTTATTTTCAATTTGATAATGTAGGTAGGGTGACACATTGATTAATCTGTGAATATTGAATCATCTTCCACCACTGGGATAAATCCCACTTGATCATGGTGTATGAGTATTGTTAGATTTGGTTTGCTAATATTTTGTTGAGGATTTTTACATCTATGTTTATCAATGGTGTTGGCCTGGAATTTTCTTTCTCTGTGTCTGGTTTTAGTATCAGAATGACGTTGGTCTTGTAGGAAAAGTTTGTAATTTTTCCTTCCCCTTCAATTTTTTAGAATAGTTTGAGAAGGATAGATGTTAACTCTTCTTAAATATTTGGTAGACTTCACCCGTGAAGCCATCTGGGCCTTGACTTTGTTGAGAGTATGTTTTTCTTATTATTAATTGAATTTCATTACTTGTAATTGGCCTGTTCATATTTTCAAATTCTTCCTAATCTAATCTTGGGAGATTGTAAATTTTATAAATTTATCCATTTCATCTAGGTTTTCCTTTTATTGATGTATAATTGTTGTAGTAATCTCTTACGAGCCTTTGTATTTCTGTGGTGTTGGTTGTAACTTCTTTTTTATTTTTTATTTTGTTTTTTTGGGCCCTCTTGTTTTTTCTTTTTTGATGAGTCTGGCTAAAGGTTCATGCATTTTGTTTGTCTTTTCAAAGAACTAGCTCTTAGTTTCATTGAGCCTGTTGAATTTCTCCCTGTATTCATCCATTCTTCTCCAGAGTTCGGTGAACATCTGTATGATCATTATCTTTAACTCTTTATTGGATAGATTAATTATCTCCACTTTGTTTGGGTCTTTTTTCTGAGGTTTGTCTTGTTCCTTTATTTGGAATGTATTTCACTGTTGCCTCATTTTGCCCAATTCACTGTGTTTACTTCTATGTGTTAGATTAGTCAGTTACATTTCCTGTTCTTGGAGAAGTGGTCTTATATAACAGACATCCTATGTAGCCCAGCAGCATGCTTCCCTCAGGTCAACAGAGCTGTATGTCCTACGGCTGCCTCCTACATGGGCTGCATGTGCCGTCTGTTGTGGTGGGGCCCACTATCATGACCAAGACGGTAGGTGAGGGTGGTCCCATCCTGGCTGGCTGCGAGGCAATGCATGGTGTGGTAGCTGTGGGTCTCCTAGAGGGTGGAATGCGTTTCCCATGCCATTGGTTTTACAGCCTAGGGGACATAGAACTGCTGCTGACCTTTTGGTGGGCAGGACTGGATCCTAGCATGGTTGTCCTCATGACTCAGGTGGGCACTGGGCTGATGCCAGCCTGCTAGAGACCAGGGGCAAGTCTCTGGGTGGCTGTCCAATGGCCCCTGGAGGCTTAGGTCTGTTGCTGTCCCACTAATGGGCGCTAATAGGCTTGAAGGAGGATTTGAAAATAGGGGTTGACAATGCCACAGTCATTGCTGTAGAATGAGCTTCCAGAAATGGTTGTTGCTAGCGTCTCCATCCCCAGGAGAAGTCCCACTTGCCCTTCTGCCTCTCTGGGAGGCTCTCTGAGATCAGCGAGTGGGTCTGACCCAGACTCATCTCTGACTACTGCCCCTCTTCTGGGACTCAGAACATGTGCTATTTCGTACATGCCCTTTGAGGGTGGAATGTCTATTTCCTATAGCTCCTTGGCTCTCCTGAACATAAACGCTGCTGATTTTCAGAGCCAGACATTTTAGGGGTTTGTCTTCCTGGTGCAGGACCCCCGAGGCTGAGGAGCTTGATGTGGGGCTCATTCCTTGGGGAGATCTCTATGATTCTGATATTCTTTTCATTTGTAGGTTGACAACCCAGGGAAGGGGGTTCTGACTGTACTGCATCTCTGCCTCTCCTGTTAATCTTGTTGTGGTTCCTTCTTTATGTGCTTAGTTGTGGAAAATCCTTTATGCTAGTCTTCATGTAGTTCTTGTAGAGAGTTGCTCTGTAAGTGGTTGTAATTTTGGTGTGTTTGTTGGGAAGAGGTGAGTTCAGGGTCTTTCTACTCCACCATCTTGGCCACCTCTGCAAGCTATTTTTAATGATGTGATTAAAATTAGTAAAACTTGCATTCTCAAATACTTGGAGTTAAATTTTGAGTTGACGTTCTTATTGTTAGAAAGCAGTTTGGGACCACTTAAATTTGATGCTCTTATTTATGTCAGAGCAATTGCAGCATAAAAGCAGAGATAAGTTCAGTGCCTGGCACATGATAAGTATTCAGTAAATATTTATTGAACAAAAATGAATAAATCATACATTATTTGATTTTTTTCCTTGTTGCTTTTTTAATGGCATTTGGTTTGGGGAGTAACATATACTTAACAATTTATGGTTGAATAAGTACAATTATGTTTATAGGTCAACTTGACAAATTGTAATAACAGGAAATAAATTCAAATAAGTCTCTACATTGATATTCAAGTGGTGCATTTCATTCCTATATCCCCATTAGGATCTCTTGCTACTTTTCAGATAATCACCACACAAAGAACCATTCTTAAAGTATGATCTGCAGAAATAATGTTACTATTTATTACAATTGAAGGGGATCTTTACTTAGATAAATTTGGGACACTTTGGGTCAAGTAAATGTAAGTAGGCTTTTCTATTATAGGACTTCTCAGAGCCTTTTTGTGAAACTGTACCTTGTGTAAAGGGGGCATAGTATGCAATGTTTTTCAAGTATGTTGGCTGTAGAAACTTAATTTGAATGAACGTGTAACAGAGTTAGCAAACCACAAAACAACATTTGGAAAACGCTGCCACGGCAATTTTATTTTGTGGACATTAGGGTACTGGAGATCATCCATTTAATATTTCCATATACTCTATTTTGAATTCCAGTAAGAAAAAGAAACCGAGTGTTATTATTGGTATCTGGAATTGAATTTGCCGGGAATGCGAGTGCAGCTTCCTCAGTAAAGATCTTGCCTTTGGAAGCATCCCACCCCTTGGCAGCCCTCCAGAGTTCAGACTTGGCAGCCTCAAGGACACAGCACAAGGTGCGTTTATCTGATTTAACATTTGGCAAAAGGTGTTTTGACTTGTGGTGTGTTTTCTTTCACTTTGTTTTTCTTGTTTTGGTTTGTTTCTGGCAATGAACTTGAGTTCGGAATGTGGTTCTTTCTTATGGGAGTCAGGATTACAATGGGAAAGTGTTTTTACTTGGATTTATTTTGTGATGTTTGGCCAAATCTGAGTAAATGAAGCAAGATCCATAGAACTACAAATCTATATCTGATTAATTTGTTAAATCATTTAGTAGCATTAATTATCTGTGAGAGTTTGTTGCTACAATAAATACTTGATCTCTCTTGATGTTTGATACACTATGATACTTTGGTACATTCCTGTATTTTGATAATTATATATTGGTTAAAATCAATGTTCCTGCATAGTAAGTAACAAACACATTAAGATCATCATAAAATATTCAACATTGTTTTAAATCTTTCTTGATTAATTGGTACATCCACATTTGACATGTTTTATGGGGAGAGGAAATATGTCATGAAATGGAAGAAAATTAACCTTCATTATATCTGTGATCTTACCTTCTACTGTCGTCTTT